AAATTTTGGACTGTTTTCGTCAACCTGTAACTGACCACGTGAGAGCTCCTTAATTTTGCAAGATTGCACAGATTTTTCACCTTTGTCTTACTGCACCAAGGGAAACTGACCTCACCACATTATTACCGAGAAACGGCTGATTTGCAAATGACACTTCCCTTCATAACTTTGGATTCTAATAGACTTCATGGCTGGTGATTGCAGGTGGTGGTTCTGTATTACCATGTTGAGTTGTAGTGTGCATCTGATCAGTTTTGACATATGTTTTATCAAAAAATTTGTTCTACTGTTTCTTTAATTTTTTTTCCTTTTGTGTCTATTGTTGTTCCTGAATCATGAGTTCCTTTTGCTAGTCAAATTGATTTCAGAATTGAATTTATAGCATGGATATTTAATTATGTTTATATGTGGATGTATGAGGCTATGAGCTTTGTAATGTAAGGTTGTTGAATCTAGAATTTCTATCATACATATTAGGTACTGATATTGATAATTATTTTTTAACATATTTATTATCGTTAGTAATCTAGATTCAATATCCATATAGTTATTGATATTGAATCTAGAATTTCTATCATCCATATTAGTTATTGATATTGATAATTATTTTTAACATATTTATTATCATTAGTAATTATTTTTTATTTTTATTGTATGACCGGTTTGACGAGTGATCTCATGATTGAACCAGTTATCCATTATTCCGGTCTTTTTACTGGGTTGATGTTCAAGCTGGTTTTTAAAAAATATGCATAAAATACAATCACCGTCCAAATCGTTGCTGACCATTTATATTTTAACCTTACAATATGGACACAGACACATTCTTACTTGGTGTCTTCGCTTGTTTGAAACCCCAACAGAGTGGTACTTGTGCAGACAGACGGGGTCGAAGCTGAGCCATGCAAAGCTGTTGGACTGAGCAGGTCTCTGTAATTTACAATTGAAATTTGAAGATTAAGAGGGAGGAGAGAGAGATCAAAGAATGAGGATAGTAGGGCTTACGGGAGGGATTGGATCAGGGAAGAGTACAGTGTCCAATCTTTTCAAAGCTAACGGCATTCCCGTTGTTGACGCCGATCTCGTTGCCCGTGTAAGTCTTCGAATTCCACTTTGTTATCTTTTATCTGAATTTCAAACCCTATTCTTGATTGCAATTAAATTTTATGATAAAACCCTATATATATGATTTTGAAATTTGGGACAAGAGTAGAATTGATGAACATGACTAAGATTTGGAAAATCTTTTTAAAAGAGAAGACCATAGAGTTGTGATCAAACAAAAAAGCTTTTTGTTTGGCGGAGGGGGATTAGATTAAAAAAGAAAAAAAAGGTGTTTAAGCTTTATGAGAAAGATATCTTTAATTTTTGTTCTTTCTAAATAGCGTTGCAAGTTAATTAACAGGACGTTCTAAAGAAAGGCACTGGTGGTTGGAAAAAAGTAGTTGCAGCATTCGGTCAGGATATCTTACAGCCTAATGGAGAAGTTGATAGGCCAAAGCTAGGCCAAATTGTGTTTTCTGATCCTGATAAGCGTCAACTTCTCAATAGGTACAAAATTCTGGCTGCAAAGGATAATGAAAGTTTTCTCAATGCATATTTGGTGGCATTTAAATACAGCAACTTCCCTGTGTTACTTTCTTATCTGCATCTTTCTGAAAATTTTCATGTAGACAATGCATACTCTTGTGGATTGATACTTGGGAGTGCGGCTAGTGAACATGGATTAATTGTTCCTTGTTTCCAATTCATCCTGCTAATAGAGTCGTTCATTTGATACAAGATGAGAATCTTCAAACTACATTTTTGTAGTTTTCAACGAGGTTGCTATTTTCTTTGAACACGTGACTGCTGTTGGTGGAGAAACGAATATTTTTTTCTGCAAGCTTCTCTTCCTGGATTACTAATTGTAAGGACGTGAGGAGAATGTTGAAATGCAAGTGACATTGCTCTATGGTTTAGGTTTAGTGGTAACCATAACTGCATCCTAATTGAGGTTGTAGACTTTGTCATGCATATTAAGGGTGCCTTTCAATTTACATGATTCACATTTTATCAAGTGTGAGGATCTTGAATGTGGATTTTTTATATGATAAATTCACCACTACCTTTTTCGAAGCCAGAAAAATTATCAATTCAGAAGCGTTTTCTCCGATCTAAGTTAATTAAACAAAGATATCAAGAGCTGAATTGAGCCACCACTGACATTTATTGATCAACCAGCCATAAGGTGTTCATTTGATGTCTGGGAGTGCATATTCTAGTCTACCATATTAAGGGAATGTGTCTGGTATGTTTGGCATATTCCCTTTGAAATGTTGCAACATTGCAGCATGAGAGAACATTACATGTTCAAGGGCAACTTTCACAATAGAGAAGGAAATAACAACTTGCAAGTGGAAAATATGCAGTTGAACAAAGATATTACTCTCTACTATATGAAATCAAGCTTATGCAACCTCTAAGAGGGAACACCTCCTATAAAAGATACAAGTACACACTGCACCAGTGGCTTTAAGGTCTTACTTTTACACTGGCATCCATCATACTGTAAAGCAACTTGTATTCATTTCCTCTTAGCATACTTTTTAGGTAAAACTTTGATGTCGGGAAAGCAAATTTTCCTTTCAAGCCCTGCCAAACTTGAATTTGAATATGTTGTCTGCTTTATCCAGATTAACCTCAAGCGTGAACCTCTTTAATTTTGGGACCTCTTGTTTTCTTTTGCATTGCCTGAAATTTCATATGCTAATCTTGTTCTGGATCTTTAGAGAATTGTGTTGAATAATCTGTCATGAATGCTTCTCCAACTCTTGAACTTGGCCTTTTCTATTCTTGCAGGCTGTTGGCACCTTATATTTCATCAGGTATTTTTTGGGAAGTTTTGAAGCTGTGGATGAAGGGCTGTAAGGTTATTGTTCTTGATATCCCTTTATTGTTCGAGGCCAAGATGGACAAGTGGACAAAACCCATCATTGTTGTATGGGTCGATCCTGAAACACAGCTTCGGCGACTAATGGCAAGAGACAGGACATCAGTGGAAGAGGCTAAAAGCAGGATAAATGCTCAGATGCCATTAGATGTGAAAAGGGCTAAGGCAGACATAATCATTGGTAATACTGGATCACTAGATGATCTGAATGAACATTTTCATAAGGTTTTAGTCCAAGTCATGAAGCCCTTGACATGGAATGAGTTTGCACTCTCCAGACAAGGAGCTTTTGTGGCTTTTATTTCGATTTTTGTTGGTGTTATTATATGCAGGAAAATGTTATAATGGTATATTGGTATTGCTTAGCTATGATGACAATTTCAGGATTTTAACAGTAAAGATTTATCCCTGTACCACATTAAACAAATGTGTGCTTCATTCAGATGGGTTGTATGCATGTTCTGACAATTAGTGTGGACAGAGTGTGCGTGTTTGGTACATACTTAAATAGAGGATGATTTTTGTAGTAAAATTTGAACTAGATTCTGTTAACCAAGTTCCAAAAGCCCGTATTTTTGTGGTATAACTCATCACTTCAAATATTTTCTGGTCGAGTTTGTTCCTTCAAAAAAGGACAATACTAGTCGCTGGGAAAGAAGGGCCATTTTGGATATTGATTTGCATTTTGTCAGGGGAAGAATGCCATTGATGCTGATTACACTAGGCCCATCAACTGCCCAGGTACATGTTTGAATTTTGTATTGACAGTATTATTGAGATTATTTTGTGTGCAAATTAAAATCATGTGGGCTATCCGTTAAATTTGTTCAGCTACCAGAAATAATTGTCTAACAGGCTGAATATTTAGCATGAACTTGCTGCCTTTATAAATTGATGGCATGTCTGCACAGTTTGGGTTATCCGATATTCTCACCTTGTACAATCTCAATAATTTTTCTGATCAAGGAACTAATATTGAAATTACTTTTAGAATTTGTCAGACAACGCTACTTGTTTTTCCCGGAAATTGACAATTTCTTTCGTTTGAAGGAAACGATGACATTATGGGTCCTGTTGAAATTAAATTCTAATCTTTAGAGAGGTTTCAGCTCCCATCTGGGGTCAAAGTGCATTAATGTCCCAATTGATATCTGATGTGCTGCAGGCTATTGGTGGATGGCAAAGATCCAATGCCTAAATTTTTACTGTCCCTTTGAAATGAGAAATTCCATTGGTTACCACTCATATCTTCTCTTTCATAATCTCTATTACGGGCTTTCTGATGTCATCCTCACAGGTGAGGTGACCAACTTTGGGACATAGTCAAATAAAGTGTATCTGGTAACTAAAATTTTATCATTTCCAGATTTTATGTTGTTGTGGTTTCTTGCCTGGGAGGAAGGTTACTGTTGGAACATGGCAAGCTTTCGTTTCTTTCTAAGTTCTGTAGTTCAACTTTATGCTCAGTATTTTAATAATAGGCTTGTGACAAGTGGCAACCACTTGTTTTGTTGAGTATTTTTTCATGAGATTTACAATTACAACGTTGAGCTCTTGGTCAATAATTATTTCAGTCATTGATGCTGTATTTGTTTTCTACATCATTTGTTTTTATGGTAATATCACAACTTTTAGCTTTGCTGCGTTTGGTTGTAGTGGTTTTTACATTAGATGTGAGCTTTCTGAAGCGTTGAGATCACATTGTTGTTGTATGTACTTTATTGTATTTAAAAGTGTGTTGCTGAAACACAGTTGTTGTTTCACCAGTTGCTGCTTTAGGCTATCCTAACAAAGATAGAAAACCAAGTCTGAATGAATGATTTGAGACTTTTACTAGATCATTGGAAAGTCTAGGTGTCATCGTGTACCAAGTGGGAGAATTTACTGTGACTGAGGTTTTGTACCTTATGAAATCATTGTGGCTGCTAGCTTGTACATATCAATCTTTAACTCATTAAATTAACTTTTTTTTTTTCTAACTGAGGATGAGTTGTGAGTGCAAAGTGTTGTCACTGTGGCAATCTCTCCCTTAAAAGTTTAGTAAAGCTATTGGCCTATAGAAAGTTTGAGATGTAAAGGCAGGCTCCATTAGAGTGTTGTGGGCCATTTTTAATTCTTAATAAAAAGTTTCCTTTAGAGTATTTTGTTCTGTCTTGGGGCATTGTGTGCTGTCTTTGTATAGCACCTTTTAGAGTATTTTGTGATGTTTTCATATTCTATCTCCAGCGTTAAAACTATAGGAAAATGGAAAGTTCTACCATTGTTTATTGATTATCCTTCACATCCTTGCAATTTGCCTGAATGTTTGTTCTCATCTGCTGTATAGTATGCTTTTTGCCTTTTTCTGTAGGTAGAGGTGTATCTTGGACAAGTTATTGCTCATTTTTCAAAGTAAGGTAGGTATATGCAGCCAGCTGATATTTGTTTCTCAGTGTCAGGATAAAAGTTTTCTCGTTCTTTAAGCAATTTTTGGTGTTGAAATAATTAGAAGGTATAAGGGTTAAGTTTCTCAGGCATTATTCTAGGTTTGTTTGTTGACATTGCTTGTGCTCCAGACCTTGGTAGACAGTGGCCCCTATTGGTTCTAGTTTCGTTCCCCATGACGGAAGCGTAAAGAAACCAGAGACCCAAGGGAAAAAAACTCTAGTACTGTGCGTCTTACTCGTTGGACTTTGGATGGTTCCACGTTATCAGATTCAACTGCTTTCATATTGATAATTTTAAGTCAATATTGTGAAACTATAATCATCCAGATTGTTTTGTCATCGGTGAATTGTTGCTTGCATTTCACCTGAATTTATGTAATGCCTTCAATAGTCCGTAAAATTAATACTTGTAGGGCTTATTATGTCATAAGCATAGACTTTCATGTGATACGCGCAGGTAATTCAACACAACTTGGTTGTGTAATCTTCATACAAAATATAAGGGAGGTCAAGTTTTGGAGAGTACAATCTGTTTTCATTAAGGTTGCTTTGTTGATGCATTTCAGTGAGTATTAAGTCAAATCTCTCTCTCTCTCTCTCTCTCTCTCTCTCTCTCTCTCACACACACACACACACACATGTATATATACATTTAGTAAAGTTGGATGACTAACGTTTGCTCTCCATTTAACCCAAAGAATACAAGTTGATATGTGTGTGTTGGTCCTTGTAGTGGGTTGCTTTTGAGTGACCTATCACCCATTTTTACTGATTTTTGTCTGTTTTCTGGCTATTGGGTCATGATGATAACCCCAATCAGATGACTTAAAAAAAACCAGCTGGAATGGTGAGACCATGCATGGTTGGAGGGTATAGTGGGCAAAGATAAAACTTAAAATCGTAACGCCAAAGTCTATTTAATGAAACGAAAGCTCTCGAATCTAACCAGAAAGTGTTAGAACGCAATAGTCGCTTGCTAGCAGGGTCGTTGATTGTTGGATCTGGGAGCTGTGTCCTATTTGATGTTAACATAATACTGCCAGCCCTAGACCTATGGATCACTTAGACTTAGTTTTACATGGATATACTGTTCAAAAAAAAAAAGTTTTACATGGATATGGATGGTAAGGTGTACTTATTTAAGGTTATTTTTATTTTCATGTTGTTATCGGGCAAAATTTGATTAACGGGATTAACAATGGTTGGCATATTAATTATCATTGTTTTTCATTAGATTAATAATATATTTAAATAATTGATAAATTGTGTTTAATTAAGGTCATTATAGTTTAAAAATAATAAATAATGCTATATAGACTTAAAAATAAGATTCAATAATTACAATTATTAATTTTAACGTGGGACACAGTATTTATAGACATTAACTATTTATTTAATAGTTTTTAAGTCTATCTGATGTTTCTTAAAAAGAATTCAATCACGTGACATTGACGACGTGTCATTCGCTAGTTGTTTAGTCAGTGTTGAGCTGACGTGGCTACCACAGGCAAGTTTTATCTTCCACCCTTTTTAGTCCCAGTTTCACTCCCCTCTTCGCTCTGCCTAGAAGGCTTTCCTTCCCTTTCTGTCCGCTTCAAACCTCCCCTTCCCTTGCACTCGAATCCAGTCTCTCTCTCTCTCTCTCTCTCTCTCTCTCTCACACACACACACACAGAGGGTGCGTGTTTTACTAGCTATATTTGCTGGAATGGCAAAAACACAAGGTGATGATGCCTCAGAACCCCTGAAATATCAGGTGAAAGTATAAACCTCTCTCTCCCTCCCCCCTCTCTCTCTCTGTCACGCACGCACGCACGCACGCACACGCACGCACACGCACACGCACACGCACACGCACACGCATACATGTACTCATTATTTGTAATGTCTTCCTAACATTCCATGCTCATTGTTCTGGTTTCTGCAGACATGGGCCTTGAAAGTCTCCATCCACTGCGAAGGCTGCAGGAAGAAAGTTAAGAAAATCCTTCAGAGCATCGATGGTAACAAACAGATATTGCTTTTTTTCTCTTTAAATATATGCTCTTTTATATATAAATGTATGTGTGCATGTCATACCCCTCCAATTTTAGAGTAATTCTATGTCGACTCGTTTGGGTTTATGATCTTGACATTTATGTAGCTGTCAATTGCTGCTATTTCTGGTGACTTGGTCTCTTTATATACTGGTTTTACTTTGTTTTCTTACTCCATTTCAGGTGTTTATACGACAGAGATCGATTCTCAGCAACAAAAGGTTATAGTAACAGGAAACGTGAACGCAGAGACTTTGATCAAGAAGCTGGTGCAAAAAGGGAAGCACGCCGAGCTTTGGCCGCAAAATTCTGCCAATCAGGAGAAAAAGTCCGGCAAGTCAAAGAAGAAGAAGAAACAAAACGACTCCAAAAGTAGCGGAAACACAAGTGACGCTGAGAACAATTTAGCGGACAAAACAGAACACTCTGCTAAAGATAGTGCCAGTGGAAAAGCAACCGAGAGTGGGCAGGCTGAGAAGAAGCCGGAGAACACTCAAGATGGCGGTGATCAGTCGCCGGCGGAGGAGGAAGAGGGTGGTGAAAATGAGGAGGCTGCTCCGGCAGGCGGTAATGGCGGCGGCGGCGGCAATGGAGGTAAAAAGAAGAAAAAGAAGGGGAAAAAGAGTAATACAACCAACGGTGAGGGTGCAAACGGAGGCGATGCACCGGCGGGCACCGGATCTCCTATGGTTACTGGGGAGCTTGACCCACGTACTGGGCCGATGAATCTCAGCCGTCCACTTCCGCAGGAATACCCATATCCACCATCCTTTTATCCACCACCAGTATATGGGTTAAGCTACAATGCTTCGTATCCAAGTACTAGCTCTTCCTATTATATGCCACCACGGTATGCTTATACTCATGACCCACGACCCTATAGGTACCCACCACCACCTCCACCGTCTGATCCGATTGGGACATATAACGATGATCATGAATATGATGATGATGAAGGTGGGTGCTTTATCATGTGAAGACAAAAATGGGTTATGTGCTTTGAGGTATAAGTAGAAAAGAAACTATGGTATGTATAAAATTAGGTATTAAGTGGGAGGAGGGGAGGTAATTATATAGGGGGGAAATCGAAGAGGTTGTTTTGGGGGGCCTTATGTTGTTTGTTTTTATCAAGAATTGCTTACTATTTTGGGTTTGCTTAACCATATAACCTTGTAATGCTTGGTTGTTTGTATGACATGTAAATCTCCCCTTTCCTATCTTTATTATGTGTAAAGTAGGTTTTTGTTTATGCTTTTTATTTCTCTCTTTTGCACACATACACACACTTCATGAGGAAGGAGATGACAAAGGACTACGATTTCAGTAAATGGTTTTCCTTTTGGAAAGCAAGCTTTCCCTTTGGCTGAAAACTTGATGTGTGTGTGAGATGCCTTTAGCTTTTACTTTTAGCAATGTCACTGGACAGCCCACTCTGGATTGAAAGCTAGTTTGTGTGGTTATTTTTAGCTTTTTCTTTCTTTTTAGTCTTTGAAAGAGCTTTGGGATGGGTCCCCACAAGTGGGTGTTGCTTTGGTTTTGTTATTTTGAGGATCTGATCATTTCAAGGCATAGGGGGTGGTAGCATTGGCCAAAAAGGTTGTGGTGGTTGTGATCTGGTTAATGTTTGGATGAAATCCATATCCCACTAAAATCACCAAATTCTCCATTTTTTGGTTGTGTGTATATGGTTTTTTGAGTTCAATTGACCAACAATTTAGAATATAAGATCGGTTAAAATCGTTTGGCATAGCTGATCTGATGTTGCTATCAAGGATTAAAATATCTATTTGAAACAGTTAAAACATTTGAAACGTTTTTATTTTTAAGACCAAAATAAAACAGAGCTTGAATCAAAAGTTGAAGGATAAATTACATTCACACCCCCCGAGTTTTTTGAGTTTTTTTTTGTAATAAACTTCTAATTTTTTATTGTTTCATTATGTTTCGAGAAATTTTGATGCTCATTTCTTGTAACATCTTAAGGGTGGAGATGAGATATGGTTCAAAATTCATTGTTGTCAATTAGAAAAAATAAAAACATTAATGCAAGGTCGGTTTGGTATAGTTTTCATGTAGAAAAAATAAAAACATTAATGCAAGGTCGATTTGGTATAGTTTTCATGTAGAGTAAACCAACAGTGTTGAAAATGAATTAGATATAGTATATATATTTAGAGTAAATTATATATCTGACCCTCAAATTATAACCCTCGTGTCAATTAAGGTCTTAAACTCTTTTTTGTGTTAATTGAGCACTTAAACTTTCTAATTGTGTCAATTGAGTCTTTTTGTCTACCACTATTAGATTTTATCTAACAGAAGTGAAGAAGTGGGCCACTCACGTGAAACAAATGAATTAGAGTAAACGTAAACTATATATATGATTCTCAAAATATGACTCATCTATCAATTAATCCCCTGAACTTTTTTTGTGTCTCAACTAAGTTCTTATGTTTTTTTATGTCATATGGTCACGTGAGTGACACGCTCTAACGAAGATAGATAGAAGGGTTTAATTGACATAATTAGAGAGTTCAAAAGTTCAATTAACAAAACCAACAAAAAAACAGGAACTTAATTGACACAAAATTATAATTTAAGGATTATATGTATAGTTTACTCATATATGTATGTATGTTCAAAGGGTAGAAGTCTTGATCTCATCTATACTTTTACGAGAACAAGAAAATATCCTTCTGCTGCACCTTTTATCCATTTAGAATATAAGATCGGTTAAAATTGTTTGGCATAACTAATCTGATGTTCCTATCAAGAATTAAAATATTCATTTGAAACAGTCAAAACATTCGAAATATTTTAATTTTTAAGAGCAAAATAAAAGAGAGCTTGAATTAAAATTTCAAGGATAAATTACATTCACACCCCCCGAGTATATTGCCAATATTTTGGAGTTTTTTTTTGTAATAAACTTCTAAATTTTTATTGTTTCATTCTGTTTGGAGAAATTTTGATGCTCATTTCTTATAACATCTTAAGGATGGAGATGAGATATGGTTTTTTTTTTTATTTGAGACAAACTACAGTCTTTCTACTTAAAAGTAAAAATGTCATAGCTGTTATATAACCCACACACGTCCAAAGGTTATCCGATGTGGAATAGCCCAAACCCATCACCACCCACACCCAAAGGCCTATAGATGAGATATGGTTCAAAATTCATTGTTGTCAATTAGAAAAAATAACAACATTAATGCAAGGTCGATTTGGAATAGTTTTCATGCAGAGTAAACCAACAGTGTTGAAAATGAACTAGATATATTCTATATATTTAGAGTAAATTATATATCTGGGTCTCAAATTTTAACCCTTGTGTCAATTAAGGTCTTAAATCTTTTTTGTGTCAATTGAGCACTTGAACTTTTTAATTGTGTCAATTGACTCCTTCTGTCTATCTTTGTTAAATTTTATCTAACGGAAGTGATGAAGTGGGTCATTCACGTGACACAACGTAAACTATATATATGACCCTCAAAATATGACCCTTCTATCAATTAAACCCCTAATTTTTTTTTTGTGTCTCAATTAAGTTCTTATGTCTTTTTATGTCATATGGTCACGTGAGTGACGCGCTCTAACGAAGATAGACAGAAGGGCTTAATTGACGCAATTAAAGAGTTTAGAAATTCAATTAACAAAACAAAAAAGAACAGGAACTTAATTGACACAAGGTTATAATTTAAGGGTTATATGTATAGTTTACTCATATAATGTATGTATGTTCAAAGGGTAGAAGTCTTGATATCATCTATACTTTTATAAGAACAAGAAAATATCCTTCTGCTGCACCTTTTATCCATTTAGAATATTCAGGTTGGATCATTCCTCTTGTCATAAACAGAAAGTGTAGACTTATATATCCTGTCAGATATTCTTCATCAATCATCAACACACGAGCTTTGCAACTCAACTACTTACCAACTTCTTAGCTCATTCAAACACACACACACACACACAGAGACTCGTGTCAAAGGAAAAAAAACTTCTTTTTAGGATCATTATTGTGTTCCTTTTTGTAATTATATATACTTAATTATTGCTGATAAAACATAAAAAAAATGCTTTTCCGCAACCCAACGGATGAAAAGTATGAGGAATGATATCTTTAGGGTCCTCCGGAGGGGGACTAATTGCCAGAATCCAGAAAAGTTGCCAAAGTCTATGCCATCGAATACCCATTCAGCATTGCTTTATGGTCAAGGAGATCAACTTTGGGTCGACCTATTATTTGAAATTTGTGAAAGAAATGGAATTGCAGGATTGTCTTTTGTGCTTCTGAAAAAAATATATCATGACAGGAAGAGTGGAAGACAAATATTCATAATAAATGATGAGAATATCGTAATAAAATTATTTTTTAAACTCTCTCTGATCATAATTGGCAAGTCTTTTTGGATAGGATTATTAATACGGACCCAAAGGAATAGTGAAAATAACACCTTGTATTTGGTGCTATTTAAACCCACCCGGGGGTGAAATAGGTTACATGAAACACAATAATTTTATTCTAACCTATCCGGCCCTTGTAGGATTAGGACTTTAACATTGAAGTAGATTTTTTCTCGTCCTTTTGCCGGTTATTTCCATGATAGAAGCTCTAAAGATTACTGAAAATAAAATAAAAAAGGTTATAAGAATTAGCGACAATGTTTCGATTCGTTGAGGTCTAGAATTATTGACTCCATTTGAAGACCGAAAGATTAATGGTCCTTTTTTTGAGTGGAGGATATAGTGTAAGCTTGATGGCCTAAAAGTGATGTGAATTGGGACGTTATAGGGTAGACAATTCATGATGGTGGAAAAGATTTGTGAAAGAGAATCTTTATTCGAAAGCAATCGAATCTTATACAGTTATGTAGATCTTATTGTGCTTGAAAACCGACCTGAGACAAACCACAAAAAGAAAAAAACCCTAACACTACTTAGATTTTATTGGCAGAATTTGGAGGCTTACTCCATCACTATCATTAGATTAGTAGCAAACTTTAAAATATATCGAAACAGATTATTAATCTAATGACTATAAATAATTAGGTTAACAAATAATACCCTTAAAGAGAGAGAGAAGTTTACGAGTTTTCGAGTTCTGAGTTCGGCAGCAACTTCACTTTTGGGTTGATTGCCAGAGGGGGATCGAGGAGAAGAGTCCGTTTCTTCTGCACCCACTCTTACAATCTCTATGCCATTCTCTGTACGATCATGATGACATGTTAGGATCATGATATGGTCATCTGAGTAGTTTTTCATGAGATTAATTAACTTACTGAAAGAGTACATCTTGAAATTTTCACTTACTTCATCATTTCTCCAAGTCAAAAAGCTGCGTCTTTTCGTTATAATGACTATCATGAGTGATTGTTTGAAAATATTGATAATGGTCGTAAATCAATGGCAAAAGCTACAGAGAAAGTAAAAATAAAAAAGTAGGGTTGAGAGATAATTTTTATACATATTTTGTGTACATTAAACAAGAAAATGGACCATAATGTTATTTCATGTGAGATCATATTCTAATGGGAGCATCTTAGGAGTCATGAGTGGCTTATATTCATTTTGGTTCAAGTCGTCGATGTAAGTAAAATTTTGAGTGAAGGATATAGTGTAAATCTCGTATTTATATTCTTAGTTTATTGTATTTGCGGTCCCAATAAAACATTAATTCATATTCTGTGTTAAAAAACCATCTATTCTAAAAACTTAAACTATTAGAGAATGGTGTAGCATAAATATTTATCTAATACTTCCTTTTATGTATGGCTCTTCTTTGAGTGGTCCATTCACATGATTGTTTTCACTCTTTTTTTGGTTAGGAAAAAAGTCTGGGGAAATTTGAACTCAGAACCTCTAAACTCGATACTATGATAAATAATCATATATTTCAAAGTTAATAGAAGTATTTATGTAATACTCGGAATGTCATTATAATCGAGAGGACTCGTGTTGGTGACAAAGAGGAGGG